TCATTATTGAGATAGTGTCTCATGTGCCTGTGGACCTTTGCACAAAACCTTAAATTAGTCCTTTGAAGAGAAATATAGAAAGCTGATGAAGTGTTCCATCACTTTAGAAGAAACTGGCTCAGAAGAAAATAACCTCCATATGTAGTAATGAAACCAGAGAAAAAATTGAAGCCATGAAACAAAATTTCACTATCGATTGTGACTGATTTTAGGTATTGCTATTTAGTCTCTTTTTAAAACAACTTCTATTATTGAAGGAAGCTTTATTTTAAAAACAGAAATCATAGCTGATTTTACAGAGAAGGTATCCTTGGCAAACAATATTAAATTTTTATACAAAAATTAGTACCTTCTTCCCTTTATAAAAAAATAACTAATTTCTTAGCAATGCTTACAAATGTTAGGCATAAACTTTGGTAGGCACTGGAAGAATATGTCTTTTAAGGGTTCATTCACAAACTTTGCTTGTCTGTGTTGAAAAGGGGCTTTGGTCATTTACTCTGGGGACATTATTTCTAGGGAGGCTCTAGCAGGGGTTTTTTTTGTGTGTGAAGGCAGATTCTTAAAGAAAAATAGGATCTGTGTACATACTGTGGAGACACATTTATCTTTGAAATAGTGTGCTCCTGTTTATGGATTTCTTTAGTGAATTTGATAGACTAAATAATGTTCATTCCCTTCCAATCCCGTAATTCCTTGGGGCATGGATTTACTCAGAAGCTATTTTACCTTCGTATTCAAAACACCTAACTTGATAGACAAGGAGACTCCAAGAGTCTTAGACTGGAAAATTCTGAGATATGATAAATAGCTCTCTTCCTTTGTTGGTGACTTATTCTTACAGATTGAAGCATTTCCTTTTTTTTTTTTTTTCTTCTTTGCTATTTTCTCGGTATTGTAGAGGGAGTTTTATTTTCTGGGAAGTATTGTTTGCTGGTAAGTAATGCATCCAAACTGTAGGAGGCTGCCACAAAATTTATCTTAGAATCATGAAAGTTCAGGGCCAAGAAACTGAGATCCTAAAATCATGCATCTTTCTCATTTCACATCTGAGAGGTGAAGTGGCTTTACGAGACCAGTAGTGAGAACTGAGAATGAAAGTCAAGGTTCGTTGACCGCATCATGGCCACCTCTCAAGCTCACCAGAAGCAACTCCAAGTTGAGAGTCAGATTCTGAAAGCCCAAACAAACTGAGCTCCTTAAGTGTCTTCCCAGCTTTAACCTCATATATATGTCATACCCATTCCATTCCTTGATGTGTCTGGTCACACAGGCCAGCGCTAATCATACAAATTGGACTCTACCTCGCTACCCTCTGTCCTTAAGGCCACGTTGGCCCTCCTCCTTCCTTCATACACAGCCCAACATAAGTGTGGCACTTCATAAGTGTTTTTTTGATGAGAGCAATGATTGCTTTGGTCACTTGTGGCTGGGCCCTTCCTTATGGAGGAGGAAAACCAACGGTTGTTGCTAAGCAACACTTAAAGGAGTGGGTTGGCTTCTGACACTGAGTGACCTCCTTTTGCGTACTTCATCACGTTGTGTTTTATGGTTGCCTAAAGATGACTTTGGTTTTTGATGGGATTGCCACACCCTTAGCAAGACTCATAGGAGAATTAATTGGAGTGTGGGAAGAAGGGAGGTGGTATTTGTTCACTACTTCCATGACTACAGGGACCCCTTGTAAGTATGCAGGAGAAGAGAGAAGCTGGAGATGAGAGTCACTTCCCTGTTCCCACATTGGGACTTATTGACAATATATCCCAACAGGGTCCTAAGGCAATGGGAAGTTACTAAAAAAAATGAGGAGAAAAATCATGCCTCTTCTAACCTTTTATGATTCAGTTTCTACCTGCTCCTATCTCCCTGAGCTGAGGGTCAATATAGCTAATAAAGAACAAGCTCCCTCTTCCAGACTGTTAACTGTTGTGGTTAACCAACACACTCTAATATATCCCAGTATTTCTACTTAAATGAAAGCTGATTAAAAGCACGAAAAGAAAAGGCAGCAGAGCACAACAGACACTAGTATGGCAATATGTAAATCAATGGATGTGTAACTGATGTGATTCTGCAATCTGTATATGGGGTGAAGGTGGGAGTTCATAACCCACTTGAATCAAAGTGTGGAATATGATATGTCAAGAAATTTGTAATGTTTTGAACAACCCACAATAAAAAATTTAAAAAAAAAAAGAAAGAAAAAAAAAATAAATAAAAGCACGAAAAGAATTTTCGTTGGTTTGTTTGCTTTTTTTCACTGCTATATCTCCACTGCTTTGGCCATTTTGAACATTCAATAAATATTTGTTAAATACTTGATAAAATGGGATTATTGATTAGTGCAAGCCAGATTGACTCCAACTATTTTAGAGATTCCAAAGAAATAAAATGGAGGATAATTGTTTGTTTCATTTGGCTAAGTCGGGTACAGAAAAAAATTAGGGAGGAAATCATCTGCCTCTAAGCTTTTTACAAGATATTTTTACAGTAGTCTAAGTAAAGTTTGCTTCTTTGCTAAAATTGAGCAGATCAATCAGAGCATATAAACCTGCTTTTTCTAGCTTCTAAGACTTCCACGCAGAAGTCTTAGAGGACAGAAGATGAGAGGCCATTGTGACAGACCAGTTGCATCTTTAAAAATAAGTAACTTGGAATTTATGCAATTTACCTGCAGTTCAAAATGTTGCAGAATTTCAACAAGTAAAATACAGTGGCTGAGATGATTGATTCAGATGATGCCTGGTTACTGCTACTAACATATTTTCTCATGGGAAAACATATACATATGCGGGCAGGGTTACCCAGAAAGAGGGCGATAGAGCCTCTCTGAGGACAATGCATTGTGCAGTAAGTCAGCAGGCAGCCCTACTGATTTGCATTGGCTTCACCTCAAAAGGCCAGGTCTCCTGGGCACAGGCAATGGCATGACCCCGGGCTTGGGTGCCTGAAGTGAAGCTATTGTCGGAAGCAGGATGCTCATTTGGAAGGGGAATGCCTCTCAGGAAAGAGAGCCAATTGCAAGTTAAGGCTGTTGCCATGGCGCTCAGCTATTCCTTCAATAAGCTGTACAGAGCTCCTGGGAGTCTAGGGCAGGGTAACAGAGGGGAGGGAAGAGAGGAGCCGAGTGGGCCTGGGTGGGGAATCCCACTGCAGTCAGCTCTTCCACTTTTCCTTTTGCTTGTGCAATAATGGTGACAAGGAGAAGGTGGGTGGGGGGCGGCGGGCTGCAGGGGAGCCTACAGGAAAGGAATGACATTCTCAACATCTCCTACCTTGTTAAAAGAAAAATTAGTTTAACTCCTAATTATTTCTAACATGAATTAGAGGATGTAACACTAAAGTACAAAATCAGCAAGTCACTCAACCCTGAATAGTTGTTCATCATTCACTCAGCAAATATCTTGTATTTCCTAACACACTCTAAATCCTGGAGGGAAAGGTTAAATGAGTTTAATCCATTTGCTGAATGTGATCTACTATGCATATTAATGAACTGATAGAGTGCAGAAAATTGCAGGCTGCATAAGGAAGTACTTTTCAAAAAATAAATTAATTCCATTCCCATTCATTTTATTGTGAAAGAAGGCTAAATGCATCAGCACACTGTTGGTGGGCACATAACCCTCAAAAAAGCTAGTTAAAAAAAAAAATCTTGTATACTGGAAGCATAGTCTGAAAACAACTACATTCCTGACGTTTTTCAATTAAAAAAAAAAAAAAACCCAGAAAGTGAATTAATCAAATGCACCATCGCTTTGAGACAATTAGAGTGTCTGAGTTTTGTGCCGAGGCTGCATCTTCAAAGGGCTGGTCTGCAATGGAAAGAGGGGGTTAAGGAACACCTAGTTGAAATGGGGGAGGGTGGGACTTCAAATTTACTTAAATATTCATGGGGCTTCCTCCATTTTAATCTTCTCCTTTTAAAAAGATGGCTGTGTTTCCCAGTCTGGAGAATTGCTGCCTCCTTGCAGAGTTCAGCAGAGTAGGACTAATCTAGGGTGGAAACCCCCCGCGGCCACCAGGACTCTTCATAATTGATAAGTGTTTCAAGCCAGCCAGCTGAATGCATTTGGACAGACTCTTGCTCCTCTGTACAATTCCTGATTTCATTACTCTCTTCTGCCAGGAAATAAGCAGGGAGCATAGGCTTCTAACAAGAATGGAGTGCCGTGATGGGCTTTGTTTGGATTAGGAAATGCCATAAATTTTGGAGGCTTTGTCTTTTCTAAGTTTTGATTATTTTACCACTGGATCTGCAGGGCTTTCCTGATCCTTTCGGGATTGCTCTCTCTCAGAACTGAATTCTTTCAAAGGGATTTGTGGATTGTATCAAGAAGAGCATTCAAAATGCCTGAGGCAAACTATTTGTTATCTGTATCTTGGGGTTATATCAAGGTGGGTTAATTCGATTGTGTTTTGTGTCTGATAGAATGTGAAACCTTTACATTTGTATGTTTTCTGTGAAGTGGAAAACATCCGTAATGATTTGTGTGTTCATTTAACCCACTGGCTTCTGATTGTGAAATTGTATTTAAATATACAGTAATGTATTTTAATCCTGTTCTTACTCAACTTAATATTTAAAGAATGCTTTTGTTTTCCTTTAAACTTTACATCTACTCTCCTTACGCTGAACAGGTTATCAACTCAATTATATTTTAGAGTTAATTGTCCACAAATATATTTTTAAAAGCGATTTCATTTTTCAAGTAAAAAATTATTTTTGACCTCTGTGGAATTTATTTTCCTGTGTTCGAATATTCAAAAAAAATCAGTTGTTACTTCTAAAATATCTTAAGAAAATCTTCTTTCCTAAAGTGACGTTGGAATAATTTCAAATTAAGGGGATATTATGTTCTTTAGAATCAGTATCATTTATCTAACAGTATCTGCTAGTCCAGTTTCTTGGTTCCTAGAAAGTAAAGTTGGAAACATTTAAAGTGATAATTTGCTCTTTCTTTAGGTGGTTAATGCATTTTTTTCTTCTTTACAAACAGTTCAAAAGAATGCTGAACCGGGAGCTGACACATCTCTCAGAGATGAGCCGATCAGGGAACCAGGTGTCTGAATACATTTCAAATACTTTCTTAGGTAAGATACTAAAAGGGAAAAATCTGTCCCATAACTGAACTTTTTCAAGATTAATTTCACAACCCATCAAGGATATTCCATGTGAATTTGGAATGGAGTTAATTTATTAAAAAAAAAAAAATCCATTTAAAATAAGAACTGAAGCCAATCTTTAAGGGAAAAAAAAATTAAGCAGGAAGATGATGGGGGGAAAATGAGTACAAATGCTTATTAAGTTAATAAATAGAAATGAGTACAAATGCTATTAAAGACAGACATTTATTATGGGCTGACTTATATACTGTAGGTCCCTCTTATCTACCAGCCCAATTCCGTCTCTGCCAAGATCTCTGAAGTAGCACGAAACATGCAATTCCCCAAACCCTAGAGACAACTCCATTAGCTCCTCTGACACAGTATTATTTCCATTCTTCCAATAACTGGGCTTTGAGAAAAAGGTGCTTTTTAAGGGATACGTTGGAAGACTAATTCCATAGTGAGTTTAGAGAACTAGCATTGGAAGTAATTTGACTACTGCTTTGCTAAGTTATTTCTTAAAAATAAACTGTGGGGAAGAGGAGAATTTTCATATCTCTAAAAGATTTGATTCTTCTCTAAGCAGCATCATTGTCTTCTGATCCTTTACCTATTATTCTCTTATTCTCTGTTGTTACGTTGTTGGTACTTAACACATAACACTGACCAAAAAGGTTTGCATAAATGACCCTCAGTTACCATCATGCATCTCGTTTGATTATTAGAGATTTCTGATCTCAGGCTTAAAGGCAATTCTGTTGTAAAATGAACCTATTTTGACTACTTTAATATGGCCCCGAGAATTGGCAAATCTGTACTTCAAAGCGAATGGGTAGCATTTAGATATTTATTCTGTTGACTTTCAATTACTGTTGAATTATACTTGCTTATGAAATTCCATTTTCCAGGGAAATTACCCTTTGTAACAGTTGACCATCACACCCTCCTTTTTGGAATAGCCACATATCATTAAATCAATGAGCATCTGCCTTGATGCCTATGGATGCACATATCTCTTTAGTTCTGTTTTGAAAAGATCAATCCTATTTCTCTAACACCAAAGTAGTTCCTGCTATCAGCAGCAGATCAATCAGCTTTCTCTTTGAGCAACCTAGTACAAAGCTGGCACATTACTGTGCAGCCAATGGTCACTGAGCAGGATTAACAAGTGCCTTCTGTTTCTATATGTATCTGCAGCCCTTGGATTTTTTTCAGCTGCATTTGCAGCAACCTCTGTCAGAGAACAAAGAGGAAGAATTTTTTATACCTCCTATCTCCCAGAATTGTCTAGGATCTAATTGAAGAGGAAACATGACATATTGAGCCTTTTCTTTCCCCCGCTTTCTCCTGTATTCCTTTGAATACAGGAATCCTCCATTGACCATTTCATATATCCTATTTTTTGGAACATTCAATTATTTTGCATAAGCTGAGTACTGTTTTAGTTACATTGTACAGGTTAATTGACTACAGGAGAGAAGAATAAAATCAATTAAGTGCAATAACTTGTTTTGTTGCATGTTAAAATGCAGTGGCTTATATGTCTTTGCAGAAAAGATTCTCACAATTTTTTTATTTGTTTTAATTAGTTACACATGACAATACAATGATCTTGACATATCATACATTTGAATCAGATGGGATATAATTTCTCATTTTTCTGAGTATACAGGTTGCAGAATCACATTGGTCATGCAGTCACATATATACACACAGTAATAAGAGATTCTCACTATTAAAGATCCATGAAGTCTGAGCCCTTAATCTTTCAAGACTGGGCCAAAACAATCCTCTTCATTCCTAGTCTCTTGGAACATCCATTTACCAAGGATAGCAAGAAGGCCTTAGTATACTAATTAATCTCCTTTTAAATCATCATTGGCTATCAAAAGGGAAATTGGATAAGATATAAAGATAAGCTTGGCATGGTGGCACAAGACTTTCATCCCAGCAACTTGGAGGCTGAGGCAGGAGGATCCTAAGTTCAAAGGCAGCCTCAGCAATTTAGGTAGGCCCTAAGCAACTCATCTCTAAATAAAGTATAAAAAAGACTGGGGATGTGGCTCAGTGGTTAAGCACCCCTGGGTTCAATTCCTGATACCAAAAAAAAGAAAAAAGATATACAGATAAACTTTCAGTCTCAAAACTATATGTCAAGAACAGACAGCTGTCTACTTTATTTTTTTTTTTTTTTTTCGTATCAAGGATTGAACCTAGGGGCACTTAGCCACTGAACCGTATCCCCATCCCTTATTAGTTTTTATTTTGAGACATGATTTCACTAAGTCACTTATAGGCACATCCCTTAGGGAACACCAATTTTTTTGGCTTCTCATTATTCTGAAAATTAAACAATCAAGAACAAATTGATGAGGAAAGTTATTAGAATCCCAATCCTTACATGCTCTTAGCATTAAGAGGATGGTGTACAGGAGAATATATGTGTGCTAAACCCCAATTAACAGACTAGACAGGTATATTGGAATTCTTAGGAAAATAAAGGAAGAAAAACTATATAAAACAAGATGCCTTGGTTGCTCCATCTGTAAAATGGGAGCACGGGGATAGATGACATTCCATATCCTTTCCGACTCAAACATTCTGTGATTCTCAAATGGACTAAATTTATCTGTTTTACTAAGACATGCTTGGCAACCTGGGTCCTCTGTGATGAAGCCTAGCCTTGCAATTGGACAGTCTTAAAAAATGAACAAACAAATAAAGCTTATTTCCAAACTGCCAGTGCAGAACCTAGAACTCTTAGTCATATCTTTTTGAGCATGATAGGTGTTCCCAGGGGACCATGAAGCCTTCTTCATAGACTGCCATATCTACAAAAGACCTTAATGTCCTCATGGTATAACTTCCTCATTTTATAAGAGAGAAAACTGAGGTCCAGAAGAATGACATAAGTCAACCTAGGTCACTTGGCTAATATGTTTCAGAGCCAGAACCAGCACCTAGATTTCTAGACCGAAATACCTACCACTCCTGATAGGAAGTGGGAACACAGAGAAGAAAATGACATGAGTAATATGCACATTGTTTGGGAAAAAATGTCTTTAGGAAACAGAATTGTTGGACCTAAAAATGAAATGTTTATTAACAGTTTCTGATACTATAAAAGGCTTTGATCAGAGCATGGCAATCATCTCTGAGCAAAATGAGATGATTTTAGCAATGTTAAACTTAAAAGCAATATCTCAATAAGTGTCATTTAGTGTTAAAATGCATCATCCTGGGAGGAGGGAATTCCCTTAATCTGGGGATCTGTGAAACTTGTGTGGTTTCCATCTAAAAAAGATGGTGTCCTAATTACTAGTCCAGATATGTGTTGTAGTTCTTGTATGATGATGGGCTCCAGGTTGCTGGCACAAACAGAAATAGAAGAATATAATTTCATGGGAAAATAAAGCAGTTTGTAGATGGAGAGAACATAAATAAAACAAGATTTTTCGATATTACATGACAATTTAATGTTTTTACAGACAACAGGAAAAAAAATATCCTTTTGAATTCCTTACTTACTATCTTGAAGCTAGAACTTAGAATATTCCAGATGTAAAATGATGCTGGGCTTCAGCAAGCAAAGCACCTCAGATTTTGCCATTGAAAGAGATTGGATGATACCATTATTTTGTGTCTGTTTATGTTTGTCTTACAGTGGCCAACCATTCAACCATTTCCCCCACTCTATTCTGGCCATTCTGTAAATGTAAATTCACTATGTTTTTTGTGCTTTTTTTTGGAGTCTGTGTCTCAGGCTGTTTCCACACTATGCTGGCTAAGCATTTAACAGAGGACATTCAGAACAGGGAAGCCTATCAGTTGTTCCAATGCTTGCATGGGGAAACTCCCATTAAAGTCGAATTGGCACTCTGTGAATAATGGCCTTCTTCTTTATTGCAATGTTCCAGACACAGCAGTAGTTCAGCTCAATTACTCACTGTTGCAGGGACTCTTTAATTAAACAAAGGGGGAAAGCTGCTAGTCCCACTAGAGATGGTTATTACATCTGCAGAGGTATAGGGGAATTTCACAGCCTCTTAACCAGATGTGAAAAAATGGTGGCCAGGAAAGGCAGGGGTTATTGTGGCCTCTCATTTTAGAACAAGTTGTGATTATTAGGCATAAAGTGGCAGGAAGAAATATTATTATTCAAAAATAATGTATGGTTTCTATGCCAGAGATTGCATGGCAGGAAAGAGATTTTTAACAGGAACCTCAAGACCTGGGTTCTATGCTCTTAAATAGTTTTATCTGGAACAACATAATTGCAGAATAAAAAAAAATGTTAAATAAATTGTTCTTTGAGCTTGGTCAAGTTGCTGACTTCATCTGAAAAATAAGAGTGTATGATTGTCTTTTGTTCTTAGATTTGGTTTTGTTTATCCAAGTCATAGGGGAATCTTTTAAAAAATACTGCTTCAATAGAGCTGGGTGGGACCCGTCAATCTGTATATTTCGAAAGTTTCCTGGGTGCTTCTGATTCTGGATTAAGTTGGAAACCCCTGAACTAATTGAGATGACTAAAATTATTCCCTAAGTAAAATCTATAGTCTAAGAGCTTGGATCCCCTACAGACCACAGCAGGGTGTGCTAGGAATAGAGAATACCCTGTTCCAGCCCTGTCGCCACGTGGCAAGGTGAAGGTGAAGCTGGTACTGTCTCGCTTTGCTTTGATGAAGTGTCAGCAGGGCCTGTGAGCAGGCAGAGGTCCCTGGGGAAAGCATGTGACTATGCTGTCATCTCTAAGAGTCTAAACGCAGATAGTGTGGATGCCAGCATGCCATCTGGAAGCATGTCATTTTCAAATGGAGAAGCTGTCTTTGTACTAATTTTCACTGTAACAAGCAGAGATAAATGTCCGCCACTTCTGAAAGCTGCATTAACTCTTTCTCGGCCACAGGGTGTCATTTAGTTCAATGAAGTAATGGTTAAGCAATTTAATCAATTATTGTTTATTGTTTCTGTGCCCTCACAGGCATCCCTGTGGCCTGAAAGAGTTAAGATATGTTTTTTTCCAGAAGTACTCAGGATACATCTACTATGAAATAGAATATTTGGTGGCTGAAATTTTTAATAGCATAAAATAAAGAACTTTTAGAGAAGGTAGACACTTTTTTTTTTTTTGCAAATACTGTTACCTCATTGTAACAAAAAATTTTAAATATTGTATGAGAACAGAAGATTATGCTTGAGTTCTTTTCCTATTTCTTCTTGGACAAGTTATTTAGTTCCTCTGGGAAGTTCACCTAAATAAAATGGAGCAACAGACCATATGTTATCCAGTGAGATCATGCTATGAGAGTTCTTTATTAGAATCAGAATCCATTACCCACAGTTAGCGTTATTTTGAATACCTCTGGGCATACTCATTGGAACTTAAATGCTAAAAAACATATTTCTTTGTCTGTCGTAGACAAGCAGAATGATGTGGAGATCCCGTCTCCCACCCAGAAAGACAGAGAGAAGAAAAAGAAGCAGCAGCTCATGACACAGATAAGTGGAGTGAAGAAACTGATGCACAGTTCAAGCTTAAACAATACGAGCATCTCCCGCTTTGGAGTCAACACCGAGAATGAAGATCACTTGGCCAAGGTGTGCATGAGCTGGGATTGTGTGCATGTGGCTCTTAATTTTATAGCACCCAGGGGCCCGTCATCATTTAGAAAATAGTAGGAATCACTTTGTTAAATTTTGTAATGAAACTTATGTCCTACATTTATTTATTTATTTATTTATTTATTTATTTATTTATTTATTTATGGCTGTACTGGGAATTGAACCCAGGAGTGTTTTACCATTGAGCTACATCCCCAACCTTTTATCTTTTATTTTGAGACAGGTCTCACTATGTAACCCAGGTGGCCTAGAACTTGCAATTCTGCTTCAGCCTTCTAAGTAGGGATAATAGACATGGGCCACTGTGCCTGGTCTTTTGTGTTTTCTTTTGTCTATGCTGGGGCATCTAGTTGAAGATCCTTATTCCATACCAAAAGGCTTTTTGTGCTTTTTTTCCCCCTTCTTTTATCCTGAATTGAATTTAGTAGTGGATAGTTCCTTATGAATGGAGCATCCTTCTGAAGAATACAGGGAAAGTCCAAGGGAAAGCCAGTGGGCAGGTCTGAATTATCCCAGAGGATATTTTGGGAACTCTATGCTATGGGCTGGGAGAAAATCTGCACTGATTGACAGGGCTAGAGGAGAAATGAGGAGACAGGGACAGCACTGGCTCCTATTCCCAAACCCTCATACTGGAGAAAGGCACAGAAAAAATTCACATATCTTTGAGGAGGCTACACAAAATGACTGCTGAGGTCACCTAGCCTGGTGAGAGTGTGAAAGGAGCTTACTCTGGGGAAATGATCATTCAGTGAGACTTGCTGAAAGCTGTCATTAGAGTAAGATTGATTAAACATGGGGCCAAGCCTGTGGGCAGTTATTAAGTATGGAATAAGTTGTTCCTTAAATCAGATAATCTTGGAATAATCCCACAACACAGATCTGGATGTTGCTTCCTCCAGGTCTATCTGTGGCCTAGGAGCCCTGGAATAAAATTCAAGAACAGCATTCTTTCTGACCTTTTGCATTAAATTGGGGCCTATTTCTGCACATTCTGAAAGCTGAGTCTCCCTGACCTGAATTCAGTGATAATAACCAAAGGGTAGAGGAGTTTCCTTGGTGCAGTTTTCTAGCTGTTACTGATGGAGCAGTGAGAAGCAAGGAGAGAATCAGAGAAATGGGACCAGAATGATCTCTATTCACTTGCAGCTATCTTTAAAAGCAACAATGGCTGAGGAGTGACGCATGGCAGAGTTGGTCAGCAACAAAATTATTACAAATGAAGACACACTGTTTCTTTTCTAAAAATAAAAAAAAACATGCACAAACTTGTCATCGTGATAAGGACACCCAGCCTCCTGAGCCATTCCACTCTCAGATTTTCATGCAACTAGAGCACACTACATAAATGCTCTGAGGACTTAGGTACCCAAAGTCCAAAAAAACAATTTTTTAAAAATTTTTAGTTGTGTATGGACACAATACTTTTATTTTATTCATTTATTTTTATGTGGTGCTGAGGATCAAACCCAGTGCCTCACCTGCGCTAGGCAGGCGCTCTATCCCTGAGCTATAATGCCAGCCCCCCAAAAAATAAAACTTAAAGATATTTTTTAAAATATTTAAAGCTGGGCATGGTGACTCACTCCTGAAGTTCCAGCTGCATGGGAGGCCGAGGCAGGAGGATTACTTGAGCTCCCGAGTTTTGAGACCAGTGTTGCCAACACAGCAAGACCCCACATCTCTAAAAGAAAATATTAAAAATTATCCTTATTCCTAAATTTCTCTAATTTGAATTACAGGAGCTGGAAGACCTGAATAAATGGGGCCTTAACATCTTTAATGTGGCTGGATACTCACACAATCGGCCCCTAACGTGCATCATGTATGCCATATTTCAGGTGAGTAAACAGGAATGAATGTTGGTTATCCAATTGGATATCTCTTTGTGATATTTTTATTCTATCACAGTTTATTTTCGTGATTTGAATTCCTCGTGTGTGTGTGTGTGTGTGTGTGGTGTGCACATGTGTGTGGTGCTGGGGACTGAACCTTGAACCCAGGGCTTGGTGCATGTGAGGCAGGTGCTATACCACTGAGCTCCATCCCCAGCCCCACCTTCCTCCATTTTTGGACATCTGCTTATTCATATTCTAAACCATTTTACCACATAGGAAAGAGACCTCCTAAAGACATTCAAAATTTCATCTGACACATTTGTAACCTACATGATGACTTTAGAGGACCATTACCATTCTGACGTGGCATATCATAACAGCCTGCACGCTGCTGATGTAGCCCAGTCAACCCATGTTCTTCTTTCTACGCCAGCATTAGATGTGAGTAGTTTTAACCTGTTTTTCATACCTGTTCAACCTTTTTTAAAAATGCCATGCAATATGCAATGTATTTACAAAAATAATGTTAAGTGGATGACCTCAAATTCTTGAACTGCTTCTTTGTTACATATAGCATCCATCCATTGGATTATTTATAAAAATGTTTTACATTTCTACTTACTTTGCTCTCTACTATCAGAAGAACCTTCCCTTTACATCCTTCCAATTGAAAATTATTTAATTTTCAAACACAATTAGCAGGGTCCAAGCTTTGTTCTTCATTGTATTCCTGGTAAAGGGATACATTGTATCTCTGTGTCTTGTTTAACATCTGGTTTATCATACATCCTCAACCTGCTTGCACTGATCAGAATTGCCCAACACCATCACAGGCCCTGTGGAGGATCATAGAAATATACTATACAATGCTCTGTATAGTTCCTATTAGGAATAAGCATCTATAGGCTTATTCTTCTAGAAATTCAGCAAACTGATTCTCTAGGTTGAAGAAAAAGTAACTGAAAATCTCCATCAGAGGAAATCAATAATGTAGAAGCAAGGAAGAACCGTGTTCTGTGTAACTTGACAGGATCTGAAGAGATGGCCATGACTCCCTCTCTCATAGATTAACGTTTACATATTTAACAGTACAATCAGCAATGGCCCAGCCATGCTATCATTGGGCACATGGAAATGGTGGTCAAGTACTTCCAAAATGTGCTGGCCCACTGCAGGAAGGGGTTAGCCAAACCCTATCCAGTCACATTTTCAGACTCAGTTTAGAAATTAAAGATAAACTGTCCAGAACTCTATCACTTGTTTTCATATTTTCTAAGAAAAGGAATCCAAAAGACTTGGGCAAGGAGATGGAGCTAAGAGTGTTTGAATCCCCGGAAGGAAAGAAAGAGTATTGTTTTTATGCTCCTATAAATATCATGGAGCAGAACAACACCATTTATAACCCATGCAGTGTTATTGATAGGATAACTATCATGTGGCAAGAAATTGGCTATGAGTGCCACAAGCTTCTAGAAAAGGACAGTGTAATATGTCCATGAGTAATAGGGTTGGTCTTTGGGGGAGAGGTAAAAGCTGAGTTAGCATTTGAAGGACTACAAGAATAAATACCCGGTTTAAATCAATGTGCCTGGGTGGGGACAGAGACACTCTCATGACATGACATGCAGTTGTTGAGCAGTCGGCATTAAGTTTCACTTCTTGGTAACATTCTCAGATCTTGCCTGTGGTGAAGATTTAGTGGATAGGAATTAAGTGAATTAATTAATGAATATATGACAGCTTGGCACAACACTATAAATTTAGCTTTGAGTGATAATTTATTGCTTATCTTATCGAGTCCAGAATTTAACCTTTTTCCTCTTAAATTACTCAGCCGGAATATAAAGAGCAGAGCCAGTCTGACTCGCTTCTTTGACTTGTATGTGCTTGTGTTCCATAAGCACTGTGCTGCCATACCACTGATCCAAGAAACAGACATCAGGTATTCACATGCCATGAGCATGGTGCTAATGACCTTCCAAACCTCAGCCTGCGGGCTTGATGTGGGAGTGAGCTCTGGCCATCGTCCCTTTCATAACAAAGACTAGGCTGATGAACAGATTCTGCATTTAATTAAATTAGCATATTATATACATCAACAATCCCTTTCCCAACAAGAGTGAAGTGCATTACTTTCAAATGAAATTGAACAAGCAGGACAGGTGAATTGGATATGGCATTAAATGCGCTCACTTTGCTCCACAGGCCGTCTTCACCGATTTAGAAATCCTGGCTGCCATTTTTGCGGCTGCCATCCACGACGTGGATCACCCTGGCGTCTCCAATCAGTTTCTCATCAACACAAGTGAGTTCACTACTAGAAAAAGGCATTTGAGATAATTGTCTGATTCACTGCATTTCTTCCTCCTAATGTTTTCATTATAGATAATAACAAGGGTGATAAGGAGGTAATCCTTCTATTCCACTCAAACTGGGTCAGGCCTTTTCTGGATACTGTGTCTAGTCTGGCAGCTCATTGATTGGGCTACAGAGAGAATTGGAGAGGATCAGAGGGAAGCCCTAAAAAGTACTCAAAGTTTGGAAAATACATTATGAAAGGAAAGAATAATGTGTAGAATTATCCAGTAAGACTAGAAAAGGCTTGGGGATGCATACTGCAACTTTCAGTATTATGTAGGGCTCTCACACACTACATCATAACATGCTAGGGTCCTTCTCCGCTGGGGAAGCAGAGAAGCTTCAAACAGAAATAAATTCCCCAAAAAGCAATGGAATGGGCTTTCACAATTCAAGGGAAAGCCATTAAAAGTTCCACACACTCTTTTCCAATTATACAGATTTGATCATGGATTGATCTGTACCAAGGAGAGTGACCCAGCTATCTTTCGGTTTGGTCTAGCCTTAGGATTCCAATTCATACTCAAAGATTTTTGTTATGCTCAGAATGTTCAGTTTCATGCTATTGATGATTTATTCATTCCTTCAGTTAATGCTCTCTCTCTCTGTGCTGAAAATTCAGGTACTTTTTCTTCTGAGGATATTATTTATCCCATTACGGTCATGATTAACACCAAGCACTGATAGTTTTATAAAAATACTGTTTGAGCTCATTGCTATAAAAGAGTCCTTTTTGTCAGTCCTCATCCTCTATCATCAGAACGAGTAATCTGGGTTTGGGGTACACTGGTTTTTTTAAAAAACGTGTTCTTCTATTGAAAGAACATAAACTGCAGCCAGCTGCTTGTCTGCACGGGTTGCATCAGCTGGCTAAGCGTGCTTTCATGAATTAATCCAGATACAGGCCAGTTAGTGCCACACAGGCCCAAGTTTTTTGTGCCATAGCCATCTATAGATGCTTGCTCTTGATCATAGGGTGACCAGAACAAGGGAACTCACATAACTTCAGAGATCCCACCCCCTTTCTCAGGATGTAACTCAAAGCACAGGATGAAAGCAATGGTATATGAGTAACAGCACCTCTGACTGTAACACATGACGTCACTTGGTTGTTAGGCTTGTTAAGAGAAAGTGTCATTTCATGAGTTTGTAGTGCAGAGCTCTGCACAAGATTTCTGCAATTCTTCTGTGTAAATGGTGGGCTGAAAGCTGTGATTTAGATACCTAGATATTACTCTTTCTGGTATAGAGAGCCAGAAGGCAGAAATGTCAACATCAGGATTCTTCGAAAAAATTATTGATGTTTAGTGTCACATTTACTGAAATCACCAAAAAAGCTACATTCTTTGGGTAAAACAAAAATTCACACCAGCACTTTATCTTTTTTGAAAATCCTAAACTCACAATTACCAGAGATGGAGGGAAACATATATGAAAGGGAAGATAGGCCAGGCACAGTGGTACATGCCTGTAATTCCAGCTATTCAGGAGGCTGAGGCCAGAAACTCTCAAGTTCAAAGCCAGCCTGGACAATTTAGAAAGAACCTGTCTCAAAAACATTTTTTTAAAGAAATAAGAAGGGCTCAGGGTATAGCTCAGTGAGTAAGTGTCCCCAGGTTAAATCCTCATTACCACAAAATAAGTAAATAAATAAATAAAATTAAAAAAATAAAAGTGGATATAGTTTGAAAAGCTTAATATACTTGATGAAGTTTAGTGTCATCTTTACTTTGTTCTTTTCCAAAGTATGAAATGTGTGGAAACAAAGGAAATTACAAGCTGAGATTAAAAATGCAATTCAGCTACTCAAGAATGCCTTTACTTGATGTCATATTTTTCATGAGAGGTGGAGAAGAACTTGAAAAAGGATTTTAAGAGACAGTGAATTTTAATCAAAGTGAAGTCTTATTCACCAGTATCTACCAGAAGCATAGTTGAAACTGACTACTTCTGTTTATAGAGAGGCACTATGTTAAGAGGCAAGGACCTATGGGCCATAGTTCTAAAATCATCTAGTGAGAACTAAATCTGATTTCACAATGTTTAATTATACAACTTTTATTGTATGCTTATTAAAGGCATCATTTTTTCCTATCTATTAGATTCAGAACTGGCTTTGATGTACAATGATGAGTCTGTGTTGGAAAACCATCACCTGGCTGTGGGTTTCAAACTGCTCCAAGAAGAGCACTGTGACATCTTCCAGAATCTCACCAAGAAGCAACGTCAGACACTCAGGAAAATGGTTATTGACATGGTAAGAATCAACCTGTCTATATTCCTCATTTATTTTTGCCACTGTCTTACAGACTGAGTTTATCGAGAGTTTTCATTTTGCTTTCACCCAAGGTTTTAGCAACTGATATGTCTAAACACATGAGCCTGCTGGCAGACCTGAAAACAATGGTAGAAACAAAGAAAGTGACGAGCTCAGGCGTTCTCCTCCTGGACAACTATACCGATCGTATACAGGTATGTGCTGAACTTTGGTGTGTCACAAAGCACACCAAATAACATCTCGAAAAAGGAAACGCCATTCGGTTAGATACGTCCTAGGCTGCTACTACAACTTTGGACTTATTTTAAGAACAAGCTGAAGAAAATGGATGTTCAAGTTTATCTCATTTATGAGAAAAACATAACTCCATTTATTGAATTTCTTAGTTCTAAAAATAAGTTGCAAAATCTTTTTATAATAGGACATATATAACTGTTGGTGCCCAAAGCTCATAGTTTGAACCTGAATCCCTCTGACTTAAAACTTATTAGGTCTGTTTGGTTATAGATAGTGCTATCAGCTAGTCTCCTCTTTTCACAAACAGAAAACTTGAAGACATCTACTTCGAGTAATTCTTTAGATGCTTTCCAAACTGAGGAAAGGAAATGATAGCAGCATCTGAACCCCAATGTCCCTTTCAGTTCTTAAATTCAAAGACTTTCAGTTTAAGAAGATATCTTTGTCAATATCTATATCTATATCCCCTTTTGGACCCCATAATGATAAATAACCAACTCTGGCCAGCACCATTGTAACACTTTTTTTTTGGGGGGGGTGCACGTATCATAATTATAATGCAACTAAAATGTTCTTGGTTTGGTACTAAATGTACAAATAAGAGAAGGATAAGATGTTCTGGCAGTATTTACACTTAATTTTATGGGATTTCCAAAACTCAATGATTTCAGGTCCTTCGCAACATGGTACACTGTGCAGACCTGAGCAACCCCACCAAGTCCTTGGAATTGTATCGACAATGGACAGATCGCATCATGGAGGAATTTTTCCAACAAGGAGACAAAGAACGAGAGAGGGGAATGGAGATTAGCCCAATGTGTGATAAACACACAGCTTCTGTGGAAAAATCCCAGGTATTCAAAAGGAGAAATTTTTGCGATTTCTAGTGATTGTAGAACTGGAGAGTTCTATCTAGTTTCTTTATTTTAACAAAATCTCTCTCTCTCTCTCTCTCTCTCTCCCTCCCTCCCTCCCTCCCTCCCTCTCTCTCTACATATGAAATGATGAAATGACAGCCACACCGTTAGTTTCATTGTGCTCATGACTCATGAGCCTTCTCCATTACACTCAATTTCACAGGGTAGGAATTAAGTGGTCATCAGAAACCATCAATATTTGGACTGTGCATACCCAAACCATTTAGATAGTCATCTATGACTTTAGCAAATCTGGCTAATCCTTGACTACTGCTGTCTCTTCATCCCATTTCTCCAGAATTCTTATAGCTCTATCTTCAACTCCTCACTCTTGTGTCCAGTTCTCTGCTGTGGCTCTTTCCCCATTATCAAATGCATTGCCACCGTCATCAGAGGGCATCAAAGCCCTGTCTGTGTCCCCTTTCCACTTTGTAACTGTGCCTTTAGGAATATTCTAGCATTTTCCAGTTGTGTCCAAACTTACAAATTCTGTGTTCTGAGAATGGGAAATAATACTTTGAGGGTGTGTGTTTGCAGAAATACCCCAGATGCTAATAGTTGTGGAATATGTATACTATAAAGTATCTGTATTCCTACAATAGCTTCAAGACCTGCTGAAATGCTATTTTTTTTTCAGGACAACAAATGGGTTGAACCAGGTGCTATGATTCAAAGTGGGTTTATGGGATATCCAAGGTGTTTATCACAAAAAAATTGGGACTGATTTTTGTTAGCATCTAACCTCTTTCCCCACTACCTGTAAGCCCCATATTTGTATATACTTATAGTATCCGTATGTAGTTTCTTTGCAGTTAGTATTTTGTTGCTTCTTAGAGAAATCCAACTAAATTAGTTTAGAATCTGTAAAAGTGATCTAAATGCTATAAAGATTCAAGATATAATTAAATTAATCTGGGCCAAATCAAATAACCGAGAGCTTTAACTGGAACAAGATAAAATAAAAATTAATTTACATTTTTCTTACTAACAGTGATGGTTTATATTTATATGATGTTCTGTGTGGTCCCATATATTATTCTATGTGAATCCCCAAGCAACCATGCAAGGCAGATAAAGCAGGTGTTTCCCCAGTGTCCAGTGAAACAGCTGTTCTCTTCTTAGTCACCCGGTTGCCCTCCACCCAAGCTTTTTCACTCTCCATCACTGGACAGGCCTCCCTGATGCCATGACATCACCCCTCAACCCACCCCCACCCTGCTCTGGTGTTTCCCACAGATGGCCTCTGTTGAACTTTATCTGATTCATCTGGCAGTAAAGAGCTCATGGAATTTGTGTGCTCTTGGAATTTGTGGGTTCTTTCATCCCATGAGCTAGGAAATAAGCAACTAGCCCCTACCTTTTAAAAATGTCCTAAGCATTTCTTAGCAGCAGCAAAAGCAAATGAGGAAAGGAAATGACAGCACTGTGTTCAGCTCACTCAGTTTTCTCCATTGCCTTGAGCTGATTTCTGGTCCCTGGAAAACACCTTGAAAATAGTCTCAAATCCATTAAATATGCATAAAGAAGTAGAAGGGAGGAGGGATGAAGTGTGGGCAGAAGAGAAGTATCTGACTCATCCACAGTCAAGTTGTCATAACCAATGTCAATCAGAGATGCCCCAACTTTGGTGTGAATCTTGTTTTTGAAGGCTAAGAAAGAACCAGATATTTGAAAGAGTCACATATGATCAAATGTTATGTATATTGTAACAACTTGAATATGTCGAATGACTGGACAAATACCAGAATATTAATAAAGGAAAGTTTCCAGTGGAGTGGAAAGATAGCTATGTAATGTCCCCTGGGGGCCCTTGCTCATCTCCCCCTGAATCCCAAGCCAGTATCTCTCTAGCTCCCAAGACCATGACAGGGGAATTCCATTCCCTCATCCAACTACTGTCTATTCTCTCTCTCTACCTGCCCCCACCCCCACGTTTCCTGTTTGTCTGACAATGTAGAGGTCGACATGAGGCCACATGGCTAGCTCCTGCAGGATGCATAGCCCCTACACAAACCACAACAAAACCATAAGCCTTGGATTTATTCACAGGAACACCAGCAAAAGGAACTGCTTGATTGTTTTTATTTTCCTTCTTTCTTCTGATGGAAATGACTATGTGTCCTATGTATCCAAAACAATGGCAGGCATCTCCACAGAGGGGATCTTTGTTTGTTCGGGGCTTGAGTTATTTTCAAGCTTTTTTTTATCAAACTCCTCTATAAGTCAGAAGCATCCCCCAGAACTTGAGAAATTCCAGAGCAGACAGATGCCAGCTCCTGTTGTTTTGGCACAACAGCATATTTTGAAGTTATCAGGGAAAGAATGTTGAGTCAGAACACTCTAGACCTGGGGCTGCCTTCTTCAGAGAATGACTCACAGAGTCCAAGTAGTGACACAGTCATTCCCAACACTAGTGTTTCAGCCAGTCTTCTTACCTGGCACATGTAAAAGGAAAAGCAGTGTGATATTGTGAGAGCACAGCCTTTGGAATCAGACAGAGCTGAGACTCAGTTCCAGCTCTATCACTTACTAGTTATGTGACCTCTACAAGATCTTTAATTTCCTGAGTTTCTTCTTTTGCAAATGGCAGACTACAATACTTACTTTGCAAAATGAAAAGAGATACTGCATATATTGCATCCAGGGTAGGACCTACCATAGAGAAAGTACTCTGATAAAGCAATAGGTATTACTGACCTCTCTGAGGTTGGAATGGCTCTCTCTTAGCATGGGAACCAAGACTGCTTGTTTGATTTTCAAGGGTCCTTTGCAATGACAGATGTATAATCTTGTTTTTCTCCAGGTTGGTTTCATTGACTACATTGTCCATCCACTGTGGGAGACCTGGGCAGATCTGGTACAACCCGACGCTCAGGACATTCTGGACACGTTAGAAGACAACAGGAACTGGTATCAGAGCATGATACCCCAGAGTCCCTCCCCACCACTGGACGAAAGAAACAGAGACTGCCAGGGTCTGATGGAGAAGTTTCAGTTTGAACTGACCCTTGAAGAGGAGGATTCTGAAGGACCTGAAAAGGAGGGAGAGGGCCACAACTATTTCAGCAGCACAAAGACACTTTGTGTCATCGATCCAGAAAACAGGGATTCACTGGGAGAGACTGATGATGTAGAAATTGTGACAGAAGACAAGTCCCCGATTGACACATAATCTCCCTGCTCATGTGGAGATGAACATTCCACCCTTGACAAGCATGCCAGCTGTATGGTAGGGCCAGCCCATCACCAGGGCAAGGCCTGCACAGGACAAAGGTCACCTGGCCTTTGTAGTTACTTGAGTTTGGAGCCAGAATGCAAGGCCATGAAGCAAATAGCAGCTCAGGAATCCCGTGGTTGACTTGCCTGGCCTGCAGGCTTGGTGGAGAGCTGAAGTTTTATGGTAGTGGAGGCCAGTATCCCATCGCGACTCAATGGCTTGAAAAATGGAAGACACAAAACTGAGAGATTTCTCTGCACTAAGTTTCGGGACCTGTCCCGACAAGTGACTGAACTCACTGATTAATAACTTCATTTCTAAATCTGCTCACCTGTCCCCTTGTCTGCCAACCTGTGTGCCTTTTTTGTAAAACATTTTCATGTCTTTAAAATGCCTGTTGAATACCTAGAGTTTAGTACCAACTTCTCCACAGATAAGTGTTCAGAGCTGACTTACACTTTTTTTTGACTCTTTCTGGGGGGGAAAAAAAAGGAAAGAAAATAGTCTTCCTTCTTTCTTGGGCAATATCTTTCGCTTTACTACAGTTAACTTTTGCAAACAGACAGGAAGGACACAGCTCTAACCACATTCTACTTCCTTCCCCTGTTGTCCAGTCTAGCTCCACAGTGGTCCTGGTAACCCAGCTCTGTTTGCCTGCTTCTAACAGTAGTTTTTCTCTAGGGTCTCACTATTTTGCTCTAAGCAGAATAACATTGAACAAAATAGGGGATGAGAGGGGGATAGCTGTATTGTTCACCATGTCAGCCTGTATAGCACTCAACTTAATAAGGCAGTGTGCCCCTTGTGTCCTGAAGCCTCTGTGCCTCTGTGGGTTGCACAGCCCCATCCTGTTCTCTGCCTACCCCCTTCACTCCATTATGCTAGTCACTCCATTATGCTGTTCACCATTTAACGCTGCCATCTTCCTCTTGCACTGCCTTCTGCGCTAACACCTCCATTCCTGTTTATAACCGTGTATTTATTACTTCATGTATATACTGTAATATTTTGTAAGTTATTAATTTATATATCTAACATTGCCTGCCAACGGTGGTGTTAAATTTGTGTAGAAAACTCTGCCTAAGAGTTACGACTTTTTCTTGTTATGTTTTGTATTGTGTATTCTATAACCCAAACATTGCTTAAGAGAGACACAGGCCCCTCTGCACAGAGCACAGGGATGGGCCTTTTGCTAAGAGGGCCTGCCCTCTCCCTGTCTGCGTTCCTAATACTGCACAGCCCCTTTATGAACAGGTTTTGCAAACAGGATTCTCATATTCGATACTAAAAGGTTTATACTGAGCTTTTATTTTGTATGGTTTGATAGGGGTAGGGGGTGATGGGACATTGTTTTTACCCATGTTCTATCCAAGTCTGTGTACGCATGAGTTGGGTTATAACCGGTTTCTACTATAATTGTGGCTTCGGTTCAAAAAGCAACACTACATTTGCTCACAGATGATTCTTCTAAGTATTCCCAAACTACTGACTTTGAAGAGCTAGCCTCCTGCCTGCCACTAAGCAAGAATGTCATGTTCCAATTCATTCTGAAAGAAAATGATAAAACAATGTGAATTTTTATAATAAAATGTGAACTGATGTAGTAAATTATGCGAATGTGAAGCTTCTTCTGATAACACTTGTTAGGCCTCTTCCTGGTGTCAGTTTCAGTTTGTAAAATATGTTTCATGCTTCGGTTCAGCATTGTGACTCAATAGTTTAAAAAAATGGCACAAATGTGCATGACCAATGGGTTTGTATGTCTATAAACACTGCATTGTTTCAGGTGGACATTTTACTGTTTTCAAGTTTCTCACAATGTATGTTATAATATTATTATTATTATTATATATTGTGCTCAGATGCATTCCTAAGAGACTTTTATATGAGGTGAATAAACAAAAGCATGATTAGATTAGACTGTAGGCCCAATTATTTTGTGGTTAGTTCTGATGTATTAAAGCAGATCTTGTTTCCCTCTCTTTTCTCCAACTGTAACCCACAAAGAAAGTCAAACACTTTACTTGATCAACATCAAACTGGGGTTCTAGAATCTATTACCAAAGAATCCCACCTCTTAGCAACTGTTCATTCAGCTCAGAGGTGCAGGCAGGGAGGAGGTGAAGAAAAGCACACACACACAAAAAAAACACTTTGTTCATCTTGAACCAGCTTTGAGAATGTGATGTGTTGATACATAGAGGACATCCTCCGCTTGGCTGGGTGCTTCAGAAAAGTGAATCAGAAGCATAGCACATTAGCTTAGTGTAGTCAGAGAGACTCACTGATTCCCTCCACACAGGACAAATTTGAGGTCCAGAGTCATCTTAAACCACAATCCACAGAGCTGGGATGGACTTTCATGGTCTTCTCAATGATCCAAGGACTATCTTGCTAGTTGTATGGTTAAGTTTTTTCTTTCTGGAAAGAACGAGCATAAGCAAAGCACATTTAAATGTTTCGTTGAGATCTTAAAAGTCAGCATTTTAAAAATTTATACAGAGGTGTGTGTGTGTGTGTGTGTGTTTTGGGGGGAATTTGCAAAAAAGAATCAGTGGGTCACACACTGTAATCCCAGCAATTTGGAAAGCTGAGGCAGGAAGAGCAAAAGTTCAAGGCTAGCCTGGGCAACTTAGGGAGACCCTGTCACAAAATAAAATTTAAAAAGGTTCTAAAGGTTATAGCTCAGTGGTCGAGTACTCCTGAATAAATCCCTAGAACTGGGAAAAAACAAACAACAACAACAAAAAAAAAAAAAAAAACAAGAATTGGCAATGGTTCTTACTATAAGTGGTAAGTAGAAGTAGTCTATAAACAAGTAGGAGGGTGTGCTCTGATAGAACTGCACTTAATAAGCTGAAATTACTGAATTTCTTTGCAGAGACAAGGGAAGAGAAGCCAGTGCTGCAGAGCCAGCATCCCCAGGACTTTCCACCACCCTTGACTTCTGATGATACCTCACCATTGTGGAGCTTCCACTGATTTAGTGACCAAAGTAGGTTGCTTATAAGTGCTACAGGCATGATTTTTTAATATGCCTATAGCTATAAATATTTGCAAGTCTTTTTTTTCTATTGAGAAGGAGGTCCTTAACCCTTGCTACAAATGAGGATCACATGGAAAATATATTTTTTTTTTAAAATACTGATGTTTGGGCACCATTCTCCTCCCAGATTTGTGATTGAAGTGATCTTGGTGGAACCCAAAGCATCAGATTGTTTAAATTTTTCCCAGGTCATTCCATTGTGTGATTGGAGTAGAGAATCACAGTTTCAGAACCAAACCATGCTTGGAGCTATGGCTTTCACTCATGTGTCTTTAGACATTCATTTTGCACCTATCATGGCCTGCATGGCATAGTCAAGAAATTTTTGATGGCAATTTTGGTTATGTTCTAGTTTTCTCTTTCCAATGGACTTTTCACTTAACTTCCAGGTATGATGGGACTAAACGATGTTACTAGTTTCTTACCTGGGAATCTCATAGGGTTTTGTTGTTGTTGTGATGGTGGTTATGGTGGTATATGTGTGAGTGTAGTGCAGGGAATGAACCCAGGGCCTTGTGCACATTCAGCAAGCAATTCTACCACTGAGTTACATCCCCAGCATTATCCTACATGGAAATCTTAAGAAGAGTCAGGCCAGGACTTGGGAATCCAACTGGTCACAAGCCAACTATAACCTGTGAGGGCAGGGACCATGCTGGGTGCTTTCTCCCCTCTCTACACTTCTAGCACCATACCTCATGGAGAGTTAATGCTCAAACATTAGTACCTGGCCTATGGTATGCATTAACAAATATTAGCTGTATATAACTAGAGGTAGCATGTTTTCTACCTTGTAGTTTCATTTACCATTTTTCATATGACTTTCATTCACAGTTCTGGTCAACTTATCCCGGGTTTGCTCAAATAACAGTGTTTCCTTAGGTTCGATGTCCCAGAACCAAGCACTGTATTTCCTTCATGGTAGGGCACAGTGTAACTCTTACCCTTATTTGTTCTGGGCACTGTTCCAAAGCCCAAGCTTGTATTCATTTGGGGGATGTCAGTGATTCACCTGGATGATTCATAAGGGGCTTATAGACAAACAAAACCTTCCAGGTCTTTTCACATGAACCACTCCTAAACTGAATCTTCTCAATTCTTTTACTTACGCAATTGAATTTCTGAACCTTAATGCACAGTTTATACTTTCCTACTTCATTTCATCTGAAAAACCAGTAGAATACAGGAAAGAATTTTCAATTGGGGTATCAGATTGACCTATTTGTAAATTCCAGCTACATACACCTTTGTGACCTTAGAGAACACACTTATTTGATCTTCAGTTTTCCTTTCTGTAAAAATGAAGAATGATACCTACCATCAAAAGTTTATTTAGGAAGACTGAGATCACTTCGATGCAAAGAGTCTGACACATTCCAGGCATTGAATAAATGAGATTTATTAGTATTATTAATGCCCTACTATGATGGTTAAATGAGATAACACTTACATGGAAAAAAATTTTCATATTATTGGATGCTATTGTTTGGGGCCTAAAATATTATTTAGAATTCTGATTCTGATAATTCATTGACTCCAATGCTCCCTCAACATCTGTAATCTCATCTTTGATAATAATATATTTTATATTTTCATTAACATTGTAAGTACAAATGGTAATCAGGATGGTACATGGAATGGAGGAGTGATGAGTCACCTGCAAACTTTCAGATCAGCATTCTCCTCCTCAATCCTAACTGACTGAGAAGAGAGATGATAGCATGACTTAACCATTAAAGAACCAATGCCAGCTACTTCTTTCTTGAATAGAGCCTACTAAACATATATTAATAATCTGTTCTAGGATTTTTCCATACAATTGATGCTATGTTTGGCCAACTGCAGTGCCAGACTCTTTCTAGAAAATGGAAAATTCTCCCAGAATTATGGCCTATTTTGTTTTCTCTCTAATTTCTCAAATAACATCAATTATGAGCCCAAAACACATTGTCAATTCCTTTCAATGGCCTGGGAAATCACATGCTTAGAGACATAAAACCACTTAAAGGGCAGAAGTACCCCTTCTGCACTTTGCTTTACCTGAGTCCAGCAGGAGAGCATGGTACTTGTGCATGCTGAGGTAAGTGTGCATCTCCCTTTCACTGAGGAAGACAGTCCTCCATCAGGCTTATAGTTTCAGGAGGGGTGCTCATGGAGCAGTGAAGGAGGACAGGGGAGCCTCTACTAACTCATTTTGGTGCTTCAGCACATACAGTTAAGTAAATCAGTAAACGTATACTGAGTCTGAAGGGGTAAGAAAGGGTGTTAATTCTTTTCTGCCCATCATACAAGATCACAGCCCAAAGCCCTATAACAAATGACAGATTAAGAGAAAGAGCTTAACAAGTTTATTTGACCATTGTTTTATGTAACATGGAGGCTTCAGATTTGAGATCCAAAGATCCAGGGTGACTATCCATTTTTATGCTTATGTTTGATGGAGCAGGGGCAGCTAAATAGAAATATAATTGGACAAAAAAATATAATTTAGTCTATTTGGATTCTTCATGGCCATTCCTCTGCAGCATTCCTTTCTTGTGGGTATGGAAAGAACCCTTTCTAGGAGGAAGATTTTATGGTCTACAATCAAACATGATAGACCAGAGATTTTGTTATGGACAACTCTGACCCAAAAAGGTGGAGGAAAGTTAGAGTAACACTTTTAAGCTTTATGCTGGCTTGGGCGTAAAGGGGTCTGGTTTCTATGAACCACCTTGGGGAGGATGAATTCTAGTTTCTACAGCCTGCCTTGGAGAATGAGAGGTGAGAGATGGAGGGTGTGTGTTTGTGTGTATGTGTGTAGGGGAAGGTCAGAGAGGAAGTTTCCTTCTGCATCTGCTCCTGAGGCCTTCACTTTGGGGTATCATTTTCTAAGCCCTAACCATCTCCCAACATTTTCTAAGCACTATCTTAAGACATATGCCTGTGCCTTACATATTGGAGGATGTAGAAAAACAGATGCACAGATAAAAAATTCAGTATCATTTTAAGAAGTGCTAAACTAGAGGTAGACATAAAGAACATAATGCCTAACTTGTCTGGTGGGAGGTAATCAGGAGTATTTCTCATTAGGAGTCAAAGTTGAGTCTTTTTTTTTTTTTTTTTTTTGGCCCATCATAAAAGATCACAGCCCAAAGCCCTCTAACAAATGACAGATTAAGAGAAAGAGCTTAACAAGCCTAAATGAGAAGCAGTCAAAAGACCAAATGGATCTGGAAAGGAATGTCAAGAGGCCTGAATTCCAGGAGGAAGGAAGAGCAGTAAAAAAGTCGAGGATTTGAATTAGTATTTTTCAGTCCCATTCATAGATTCATTAATTTAAAAAATTTTGGGGGGGGGGGGTACAAACCATGAGCCAAGGGCTCTAGTAGACACTGGGGATATGGAGCAGAAGGATACAAACAGAGAAAAGCTTCCCTATCATTCAGTAAGGCTGCAGCCAAGGAACTGATGCAGGTTCTCCCAAGGATGGAAATAGAGTTACATGAAAGTAATCAAAAGAAATAACCAGTTACATGAAAGTAATGAAAAGAAACCAGTTTGTAAGGAAGGGGAATGGAAGCATTTTATGGCAGTTACGTCAAGCCCTGTGGTGGGAGGCAGCAGAGCACCTAGGAGGAACTGAAAGAAGGTTGGTATGGCTTGAGGTGTGGAGTAGTAAGAAATGATGCCCACGAGGTGACATAGGCCAGAGCCCACAGGGCCTGGTGGGCCATTAGAAGAATTTGGCTCTTTAAACCAAATGGGAATCCACCAAAAATTTTAAGTAGGGAAGTAACATAATCTTACTTCCATTTCATCATCTTAATCATAGTGTGGGGACAAATCCTGAGAGGATGATAAAGAAAGTAGAAGATCAGCGATTAGGCTATCG